CATGCACCTCTCCGTTCCATCGCCTTCCTTCTCATCGTGGGAATTGAATTAACAGCAAACCAATGTCAGAGTGTGACGGTTCGTGTAAGCGATTCATAAAGATTCTGGGTCTTATTTGGAGGTCTGGGTGTCTCGACGGATCTGCTAGCAACTATTTGGAGGTCTGTGTTTGTGAGAGCACCGGACCAGGCAGAGACATTTCACAGGTCCCTAGTGCAGTATGAGAACTCAGCAATTACAAGTTGGCACGCATGTTACAACGGCAAGTCGGCATGCTGCTACTCTGCATGAAAACTTTTGCACAAGAAAACCATGGACCAGAGGGTGTACCATGGTAGGCAAGTGTGGTTTTTCTTAAGTGATGCTGTTCGAACACTACTTGTGGAAACAGTACCTTTGAAGAAGAGCTTCAAGTGTCAAAAAAGAAACGAGATTCAGATGGAGAATGGCAGGAGAAGGGTCACATGTCTAAAGTTTGTGATCCCCCAAAGAATGTCCCTTCTGTGATGGGCAAGTTCGATGCAAAAAAACCTCATGAGAACTGCCACGAGACCCAATGTTTGTCACGTGACTTAGCAAGGTTGTTCACTGTCCTGCCCTCGCTGTAATATAGTTTGCTATTAGGTTGGCGGCCATCGCTATTAGGTTGGAGGCCATCGCTAGTAGGGTGGAGGCCATCGCTATTCTGAAACAAATCAAAAGGAAAAGGAACAGGAGCGAGCAAGTTACGGCTCAGCCACCTCTCCTCGCCAGGACAGAGACGTGGAGCACGGCATGTCTTTTGTGCGGCGCATGGCCATGAGGGTTCCAGAAAACAGTCCGTTCCGTTTCCATAATGTGCCTTCTGCCAGGCAGTAGACGACTGAACTTGCAATGCCCACCATTGTTATGAGGAGAACCAAACACCTCCAACATGAATGAACACCCTCAATTTGTGTTTTTCACCAATTCCTTCAGAGGGGGTGCATCGTGTGTCCAGATGTCTTACACAAGCACCCACGGGTAGACCCCTCTTTTGTGGCCAGCGCCAGGCCGAGTCAGCAGCGAACTTGCTGGAGAGGATCCCTTTCAGTCTTTGTCACCGAGTGTCACTCTTCACTTAAAACCACGACCCTCCGAAAGGACGAACCATGGCCACACATGACGGTCTGGCCCCGAAACGAAGATTCCACTTCCATAATTAGATTCTATTTTATATATTTTTTCTAATAGCTTCTTGTTACTACTAGTAAGGCACTTGTTACTACTAGTAAGGCACTTGTTCCTAGTAGCTTCTTGTTTCTAATTCCATGAGTTCAGGGAGTGTTTCCGTGCTCCGACATGGTCCAAGACCTGACCCGCTTGGACGAACTAGGGAAATCTCCCAAAAGGCCGAAGATCTGAAGGACGTTTCTGTTCGGAATCGAAGATCCGAGGCTCAAACAAGCGCTCTGAAGGACGTCCTGCTCGTAGATGGGCGCCAACAAATGATTTTATGTCACTGAGTCTTCCTGCTCGACCATCAGCAGATACTGCTCCTTTTTGATCCTTTTTGCGCGTTTATAACTCCTTTGCGGGGGACGCCAGAGGAGTTCAGGAGCGGGGTTCAGAGTTCGCCAAAGCCGGACCGACCTGAGGGGGTTCCACTTTTTGATTTGTTCCTGAACCAGGATGCGTGCAGCTGGCCTGGATCCGAGTTTGGAGCTGGAACCTCAAGCGGTGCAAGATTCAGCCCCGAAGATGAGCAACCTGTTTGCAGGGGTCAGTTAAGATGTTGATCTGCAGATCCTATAAGATGAAGGTCGTACGGATTCTTACATTATAATTAACATGTCCAGGGCTGGGAGATTCAGCAATATTCTGATGATGTGTTTTTGAACCATTGCTTCATGAGGGTTGAGAGTTGAGAGTTTCTTTTCTGGAACTGTGTTTGGGAGAAGGGTTTGGGAGAAGGGGGGGGGGCCAGCGGCCTTCCGCAATCTTCCTAAGGACCTACGAAGCTGTCTTGAAGGCGGTTTTTAATTTGGGTGGGTGATTTGGGTATCCCAAAGATGTTGCAGTATTCTTTTCTTATATTAATGTCAGTTTTCTAGTCACCCCTGGGCCAAGGTGGAAGGTTGTGAGGAGAGATTGGCCTTTCTTTGTGAGATGAGCGCTTTTTTGTTTTTATATATGGTCTGTCCATGTCTGTCCTATTACCTGTAACAGTCAGTAAACAAGTATAAATTATTGCTATTACTATTCTTGAACAAGGCCTTTACTCACCATCATCATCCACTGTTACAGGTATTAGGATAGACTCCATACATAACGCAATAGGCCGAAATGGTGTGAAAACACATTTCGATGTCACTATCATGAAAGTGAAGAGCCCCATGTTTGTGATGCTATAGACTGCTGGACTCCTCATTGTGCGGTAGCTCCGCGGATTATTCCAAAACATTCCAAAACGTTTTTATGCAACCACAGACCCAATGGCTTTGAGAGGTTTTGAGGACACGAGCCCCCACAAATCCACGGTGCCATTCATAAGGGATAAAAAGGGTCCTCCATGCCGTTCCAAGAAAACGATCATGTAGGCCTGGAGCGAGCTGCAGCTTCCCGACATGCGAAAGAAGTTGGAACAGTCCTGGCAACGGAGCCCAGAGCGGTGGGGGGACACCCACGAATGGGGGTCAGACATTTGCAGAGCTTGGTGAGAAGGGTTGAAAGAGCGTCTTTCGAGGTTTCAGTTTTCCACTTGTACGGTAACTAGGCCTTCCACGTCAGCTTCTTCGATCCAGGCCATCGTGTTTTTCATCATGTTTCATCGTGTGGTTGAACAAGAACGACCCTTGAGAGGCACGGCACAGAAGTAGAGGGGCACCTCCTCCAACATCCCCCTCCCTGGCCTCCCTGTGGGGATTCCTGGCCTCCCTGCCCAGGATCCAAGGGCTGAAGGCCAACGGAACGAAGGTGAGCCGAGATGTCTACAAGACACTCATGCGGGTCGTGACCTCGGGGACCGACCGACCGGGGTGCATAAGCCAGCCCGGTCTTCAGGAGTGCCATTTGGAAGACACCCGGATCCCCAGGCGTCTGCAATTTGGTTGGCTTCTGGAAAAGAACAATAACATTGGCCAGCATTGGCCACCCCAAACACCCCTAATTAATACGGGTCCATAAAATGGGGGGTTTCTGACTGGACTGCATTTCAACGAAAGGTGACCGACCCAGGTCGTCACGGCGGGTGTTGTCGACACCGGAAACCGCACGGGATCGAGGCGTCCAAGAGCGACATTCGATCGATGGAAGAATGGTTTGGGATCCCAAGCAGCTGCGACACGGGTGGAGTGCCTCCTGAGCTTTCGAAGAAGAGAGCCCCAGCGGAGCCGATTCGCGGAGGCTGAGAGGTTTCGCACAGTTATCAGGTGTCTTGCTCAGTCATTTTGATGTCCGGTGCCTGTGGGAACCTACAAACATCGACCAACGGTATGTCGTGTATCCCCCGCAATGGTTTCACATGGTTTCACATATCGTCAAATCACAATATAAGGATATATAAGGCAGATTCGATGATAAGTGATCCGCCTGTTCTTTTGGGATGAGAGTTGTTTCGTTTCAAGCAGAGTCTGGAGTTTGGCGGTGTATAGGGGCATATGTATCAAAAAAGAGAGCATCAACAAAAAATAAAAACAGGATCAAAAAAAAAGCGAATCAACAAATAAATATTCCTTGATAGGCCTCTTCTGCTGCTCTCCTGGCCTTGTGGGCTGCGGGTCCCCTAGTACTACTACTACTACTACTACTCCTCCTCCTCCTGCTGCTGCTGCTGCTGCGCCGCCGCTGCTGCTGGCTGCTGGCTGCTGGCTGCTGGCTGCTGGCTGCTGCCTGCTGGCTGCTGCCTGCTGGCTGCTGCCTGCTGCCTGCTGCCTGCTGCCTGCTGCCTGCTGCTGGCTGCTGGCTGCTGGCTGCTGGCTGCTGGCTGCTGACTGCTGACTGCTGACTGCTGACTGCTGACTGCTGACTGCTGACTGCTGACTGCTGAC